GGTCCATAGTATCTGCATAGAGAGTTTACATGCACCATCTTCCATGATCATTCGCACACACATATATACACTGATGGTAGAGGCTGCTTTGCTCATCAGGAGCAATACAGTGCTTCCTATCCAAAGCGCTCACAGTGATACAAAGCTCCCCCACCCCCACACACAAACACACTTGAACAATCTGATCAGAAAGGCCAGCTCTGTTCTGATGAGATTGTCTATTGATCTAAGTGCAGATTTTTTACAAAGAGAACACAACAGAAGGTTCACATAACAGAAGGTTATGTAAGCTGCTGCAACAGGCTGCCACTAGAATGGTACCATCTTGCATGTCATATGCCATATCAAATCAAGGCATAAAAAGCTATGAGGTTTGTGGTAAAAATGTTTGTGGTTCATGTTTAATTTAAAGAAGAATAAAGAATTAGGATAATGGGATTGGACCAACCAACCGCTTTATCTTATAAAGGAATCCAATAAAGTTGACCAAGAAGAGTCTGTGAGCTAAATCTACATAGTTGATTTCTCACCTCAAATATTCCCTAAAGTGAATTTTGTGATAAAATAGCATTAAAAAAAATCTTTAAAACAAAATTACTGGAAGTGTCACAGGAACACCATGGAACAGTCTGAAGAGATGCAATGGGTTTTGGGACAGTATGGGCAGTAAGCTCATGCCACATACTCAAAAATTCTTGCCAATGCAGTCTATGTCCAGATATATCTCGCTTGCACAAAATCCACATACAATGAAGTTGGAATGCACTACATACTACATTTGATGTCGTGCTTAGTAAGAATAGTACATTAGTATGTGATTTTAAGGAGAAGCCGCTTGGCTGAGAGCTTTTTTGGTTTTAGGAAATTCATTTTAAAAGATTTTTTTTGGACATTAAAACACTTGCAAGCAAACATTTACTTACCTACACACAAACACACACACGCATAATTATTCATCATTTTGTATCTTTGTTTCTTATGCAAACACAATGTAGGTACCTACATCTGATTGGATTACCAAATTTTGTCTTAATTTATTTGGGTAATGAGATGGGAATTGATAAATGCTGTACCAAGTCCAAAGGTTCATCACAGTGACACAGTGACACGGTCCTTGCATGAACTGTACTGAGGCGTTATTAGGTAAGGCAAAAAGCTAAATGTAAAGTCTTTTCTCTAAAGATTGTTGTTGTTGCAGTTGTACATACATGCTGAACCAAATATCTTTTAAATGTTCCTAATATTTTAGAATATTATTGCAGAAATCAAGAAGCATGGAACCAAAGTTGACTGCCAACGGGACTTACACCATCAATGAAATACATCCCTGCTATGAATCAGATAATACAAATTACGTATTTACAAGTAACCCTTCCATAATATGTCTATTAGTATATATTTTCCTTGGCTCATTGTCTGTTGTCACAATATGTGGAAACCTTCTTGTAATAATCTCCATCATTTATTTCAAACAGCTCCACA